ACATACAAACATGGAGTATTATGCAATGATAAAGAACAATGATGAATCTGTGAAGCATCTCATAACATAGATGAAACTGGAGAACATTATGCTGAGTCAAATAAGTCAATCACAAAGGACAAACATTGTATGAGACCTCTACTGTAAACACCCATGAAAAAGTTTATACACAAAAAGTAACAATCTTTGTTGGTTACGAGGGATGGGAGGAGTGGGGGGGAAATACTAAATAGACAATAGGTAAGTGGTAACTTTGGTGAAGGATAAGACAACACACAATACCAGGGAAGCCAGCACATCTTGTCCAAGGAAAGGTCATGGAAGCTCCATAGACACATCCAAACTCCCTGAGGGACTGAACTGCTGGGCGGAGGGCTGGGGGGACCATTTTCTGGGGGAACATCTAGCTCAACTGGCATAACACAGTTTATAAAGACAAAGTTCTACATTCTACCTCGGTGAGTAGTATCTGGGGTCTTAAAAGCCTGTGAGCAGCCATCTAAGATACTCCACTGGTCTCACCCCTTTGGGAGGCAAGGGAGAATGAAGAGAACAGGATACAAGCAAAAGATTAGTCCAAAGGACTAATGGACCACAGCTAACAAGGCTTCCACCTGACTTCCACCATCCAGTATAGCTAGATGGTGCCCAGCTACCACCACTGACTGCTCTGACTGGGATCACAACGGAGGATTCTGGACATAGCTGGAGAAGAATATACAACAAAATTCTAACACACAAAAAATGACCAGATTTACTGGCCTGACAGATACCGGAGAAACCCCGAGGGTATGGCTCTGGACACCCTTTTAGCTCAGTGGTGAAGTCACTCACAAGGTTCACTGTTCAGCCAGGGATTGGACTTCCTCATAAAACAAAACGGGACTAATGAGGCACAGCAGTCCAGGGACAAGGACTAAAGGCAGGAGGGTACAGGAAAGCTGGTGATAGGGAACACAAGGCTGAGTAAGGACAGCGTTGACAGGTCGTGGGGTTGTTAATCATTGTCATAGGGCAATATGTGTACTAACTGTTTAATGAGAAACTGTTTTGTAAACCTTCATCTAAGGTTCAAAAAAAAAAAAAAAAAGAATTATCTATGGGAGATCAAATTGACAACAGCACCTCAAAATGTTTGATGGGAAGCCTACGCAACAGTGAGCTGAAGACAATGGTGATGGAATAATTTGGAAAAGGACAGTGAGAATAACAGCACAACTGGAAGAATGTAATCGATGTCACTGAATTGTACATGTAGAAATTTTTGAAATGGTGTTATCTTTGGCTATGTATAGTTTCACCAAAAATAAAAGGTCCTCCAAGGTTGAGAAGAGAGAGTGTTCACATGTCGTGGGGTTGTTAACCAATGTCATAAAACAATGTATGTACCGATTGTTTAATGAGAAACTATTTTTTCTGTAAACCTTCACCTAAAAGTTCAATTAAAAAAAAATTAAAAAAGAAAAAGTTTACACACAGAAACATTCTTTGATGGTTACCAAGGATGGGAGGGGAAGGGAGAGAAAATTACTAACTAGATAGTTAACTTGGATCAAAGGAAAGGCAATATACAATAAGGGGGAGTTCAGCAGCACAAGAAGATCAAGGCAAAAGAAGACAATGGGAAGTACACAAAAGTAAAAGGCAACAACGTAAATATTACATACACAATTCTGGAATAACAGTCAAAACAAACAATGATTTATGAGTGGATACATAGGTAGATATACAAGCTGAACAGGTATGGGATGGCATACGGGGAATACACTCACGAGCATATACAGGTCTGGCAGAGGATATTTCTACATACATACTTATATGTGCTTCTGCAAATACATCCATGCATATAGTAGAGCACACGGGGGGAAAGTTATGAATACTTCTTAGCCATAATCAAACACTTTGAAGGACTGAGTCACTGGGTTGAGCGCTTAGGATCACAGGCTCAGGGGACATCTAGGTCAACTGGCATAACACAGTCCATAAAGACAATATTCTACATCCTACATTTTCAGTAGCAACTGGGGTCTTAAAAGCTCGTGGGTGGCCATCTAAGATACAGCTATTGGTCTCATCCTGCCTGGAGCAAAAAGTGAAGAAAATCAAAGACTCAACAAACCAATTAGTCCAAAGAACTAATAAACCATGAACCACGGCCTCCACTAGCCTGAGACCAGAAGAACTAGATGGTGCCCAGCTACCACTACCGAACGCTCTGATTAGGATCACAACAAGGTTCTGGACAGAGTAGGAGAAAAATGTAGAACAAAATTCAAATTCATAAAAAAGACCAGACTTACTGGTCTGATAAGAGACTGGTGGAACACCTGAGACTATGGCCCTCAGACATCCTTCAAATCTGGAACTGCACCCATTCTCAGAGATCACCTTTCAGCCAAACAACAGGCCTATAAAGTGAACAATAACACCAATGAGGAATGTGCTCCTTGGAACAATCAACCATACAGGACCAAAAGGGCAGCATTTTCCCAGAAACAAAGTTCAAAAGGCAGGAGGGGCTGGAAAGCTGGGGGAACAGAAACGGGGAACCCAGGGAGCAAGTGGGTAGAGCACTGTCATATCGAGGAGTGTTATGGATTGAACTGTGTTCCCCAAAAATGTGTGTCAGCTTGGCTAGGCCATGATTCCCAGTACTGTCTGTCCACCATTTTGTGATCTGATGTGATTATCCTATGTGTTGTAAATCCTAATCTCTATGACATTAATAAGGCAGGATTAGAGGTAGTTATGTTAATGAGGGAGGGCTCAATCTACAGGATTAGGCTGTTATCTTCAGTCAATGTCTTTTGAGATGTAAAAGAGAAAAGTGAGCAGACAGGAGATGGGATCTCCTACCACCAAGAAAGCAGAGGCGGGAGCAGAGTACATCCTTTGGATCTGGTGTCCCTGTGCTGAGAAACTCCTAGACCCAGGAGAAGATTGATGAAAAGGACCTTCCCCTGGAGGCAAAAGAGAAAGTAAGCTTTTCCCTGGAGCTGGCACCCTGAATTCAGACTTCTAGCCTTGCCATCCACTTGTGGTATTTCTGTTATAGCAGTACTAGGTAACTAAGACAAAGTGACTGCAACTAATATCACGAAACAAAACGTGTATAAATTGTTGAACAGGAAACCAATTTGCTCTGTAAACTTTCACCCAAACCACAATAAAATGTTCAAAAAAACATAACACAAAGAATTAAAGAAAAAGGTGTTAGAAAGGAGATAGCAATAACCAGGAAACCACAGGACACATCTAAGAAGTAAAAGCCAAGTATGGCAGACTTCAGGCATTGGCATTTCAACATCACTGTTTGACTATTCTTAAGTGGGAGCCCTGGTAGCACAGTGGTTAAGAGCTCGGCCGCTAACCAAAAGACTGGCAGTTCAAATCCACCAGCCGCTCCTTTGAAACCTTATGGGGCAGTTTTACTCTGTCCTATAGGGTTGCCATGAGTCGGAATCAACTCAACAGCAACAGGTTTGGTTTTGGGTATTTGCAAGTGCCCTGAAAGTCCAACACATGTATCAGTTTGTGATGTTGCTTTGTTACAAATCTGAATCATGCACTTTGGCAGTGAAAGGCACTTGGCCACTGAGTAAATCACAGTGATCACCAGCATCTCAATCTCTGAGTGAGAGATGTACTACACATTGTAAAAACTATTTTCATGAAAAAATGGCTCCCAAAATAAAGCAAACTATCAGTGCTGTTAATGAAAGTGAGTAGAAAGAGGGATATTAGAAGAAAATGATGGCTCTTAACAGAAAAGTGAACCAGTAAGCAACATGATAAAGACCGTGAAGTTGTCAAGGATTTCATTTTACTTGGACCACGATCAACACCCATGGAAGCAACAGTCAAGAAATCAAACGACACACTGCATCGGGCAAATCTGCTGCAAAAGACCTCTTTAAAGTGTTAAAAAGCAAAGATGTCACCTTGAAGACTACAGTGTACCTGACCCAAGCCATGGTGTTTTCAATCGCCTCACATGCACGTAAATGAGTAAGGACAATGAATAAGGAAGACCGAAGAAGAATTGATGCCTTTTAACTACAGTGCTGGCAAAGAATATTAAATATACCATGGACTGCCAATGGAACGAACAAATCTGTCTTGGAAGAAGTACAACCAGAATGCTCCTTAGAAGCAAGGACGGAGAGACTGTATCTCACATACTCTGGACACATTATCAGGAGGGATCAGTCCCTGGAGAAGGACATCACGCTTGGTAGAGGGTCACTGAAAAGAGTCAACGAGATGCACTGACACAGTTGAACAGGCTCAAGTATAACGATTGTGAGGATGGCGCAGGACCAGACAGCATTTCATTCTGTTGTACATAGGGTCACTAATGAGTCGGAACCAACTCGATGGCACCTAACAACAACAACAGAAAAGCAAAAATTTTATAGAAGTGATATTCCAAAGCTTGAGATTTGCAAGTCTCAGGGTTTATCTCTTGAGAATGTCAAGAATTTCCTGTGATTAGATTTAGCTAGTGCAGATTATTTGAAGAGGAAGTGATAATAAAAGGGCTTGAATGTCATAACAAGAAAGTCGGATTTTAATCTACAGGTCACAAAAAAAACAATCGAAGAGCAAAAGATTATAGATGGAAAGCCAAGTGCCACCATTCATGCAAGGTAAAGCCTGAAAGTGAATGAACAAATAAGAAATGGATAGAAAGATGACAAACCAAATGGAAAAAGAACTTGGTAACCAACAGATAGCGGGGGGAGTAGGAAGAGCAGAAGAGAACAGGAAGCTTGAGCCTGCGGCCAAGGAGATGGTGAGGCCATCAACAGAAATAGGGAAATTAAGGAAAGGGCAATGAGTAGATGTTGGGGCCTGACTTTAGTTTTGGAGAAAAACTATCAAGCAGGAGAACAAGGAACTGCTGCCCCTGACATCCAAGCCAAGGTCAGAAAGCCCAAATGGGAGAATCAAAACAAAATGGCTAAGTTTAGGACTGAAAGGGAAGGATGCTCACTCACCTCGGTATGAGTTCAGTACCATCTGCTGAACAAGGTCCCAAACCTTGATGCTAAGAAGCAAAAGGAAACAGACCTTTAATCTTGACCCGGACTAGCTACATAAAAACATGTGTTCAAACAAGTATTTTCTTTAACCAAAATGTTCCATTTTTCTGTCTTTATCTGCTGGACTTCTGCTATGATCTATTACAATGGACTGCAAAATTTCGAAGGACATACATGTCATAATCAATCACCCCAAACCAAAACCCACTGCCATTGAGTAGATTCCAATTCATAGTAACCCTGCAGGACAGAGCAGAACTGCCCCACAGGGTTTCCAAGGCTGTAAATCTTTATGGAAGCAGACTGCTACATCTTTCTCCTGCGGAGCGGCTGGTGGGTTCAAACCGCTGACCTTTTGGTTAGCAGCCGAGTACTTTAACCACTGCACCATTAGGGAATCAGTCACCAGGTTCTTATAATGACCTTGAAACAATACTTAATGAAACCAGTAAGATAGCAAGGACACACAGAAGAGGCCTACAGAGAGGAGTGATGAGAAGAGGGACCCACCAGAAGTCTTTGCTACCACTGACAGCTTGCGTGCCAGAGCTCAGGACACTGACTGTAGACACAATATCATCGTGCTCATACTTGCAGAACTTGCTGACAATGAGTGTCTCATTCTCATCCAGCTCCCACAATTCAACAGCACCTGGTTGGGGGTGGGGTGGGAGGTGAGGAAAACAGAGACTTGGATTATACCAAGAGAGTAATTCACTTCTAGAACTCACATAGTCCATTGTTACTAACTACAGTACTCCTATAAAAGCAAAGCCCATATCATTAGAGGGTTTAGTTAACTCCCAAGCTACTTGGCTTTATGCTGGCATTACTGTTTTCCTACTAAAAGTCCAGACAACTAGAGGGAGAAAGCCTCTAGAAAAAGTCAGGGAAAGACGGAAGCGCTAGCTAGTAAAATCTATTATTCTGCTTCCAGTGAGAAGACCCTGGAAAATCAGCTTCCAGGAGACGCAAATGAGGTATCCACAACTGTGCACTACACAGTCTGGTGAAGTTAAACCCTTCCAATTATACAGACACTAATAAGCATTTGCTAAAGTATTTGAATAACTGTCTTGCCAAATTTTAATAAATGTTTGTTGAATAACTGAATATCTTGCATAGTGGCTGGCTAAACACAGAAAATCCCAAAAAGTTGTTTTAAATATGCAGTGTTCAAACTCAACTGTCAGCGGTTCAGTCTTTAATGCCCCACTTTCATCCTTTCATGCAATGCCTGACAACTCCCGAATTCTTCTTTTTTTTAAATGCCAAAGCCTTCATTGCTGAGCCTGACATTCGAAACAGAGCAGAATGAAGGCATTTAAGACAAAAACATAGGAAGTGACAGCACAGACTGGCTTCAACAATATCTTTAAAATCAAAGAACGTTGCCCTTGTTGGGTAGGTTTTATATAGAAAAAAATTATGTCAATCCATTTCTTAAATATGTTATAGATTTTGCTAAGAAATCCCGCTAGGTAATTTAGAATTTTGGGAAAGATATTTCTCCCGCAAAAGAGTCTGCGGTTGGAGCCAACACTCTCAGGCTCCCCCAAGCAATGAGTAAAGCATGCTCAGTCCGATCCGTACCCCGAGCTCCCAGTCCACCTGTAGGAATGAACGGAAAGTAACTCACCCGAATCGGAAGCCACAAGGATACCTTTGTCCCCAACCCAAGTGAGGTCGGCTACTCCAGCCTCTGTCTGGACTCCGGCGGAACAGAAGCCTTCGTTGGGGGCGGAACAAGGGTCCTTGAAAAGCCAGAGGGAGCCAGCCCAGCAGCGACCACTCAGGCTGGAGGCCCCAAGCAGGAGTGCCCCATCTGTGGGGGGTACAAACTGTCAGCACTCGAGGGGTGGAAGGGCTCGTCTCCGTGGTGACCGCGCAGAGCAGCACGCGCCGGCTAGGTCCGGATCTGAGCTCAAGAACGCTAGGCGGGGTTGGGGACTACGCTTAGAGATGTGAGGAAGAGATCAGAATGGCATGCGGGGCGGGGACGGACTGCGAGGGTCAGTCCTGGGGAGGGGACGTCCTGGGCCGGGATGAGGGGGCTCCCAGGCCCAGATCAGGGCTCACCGGACCGGTACCGCGCAGCCTCCAACTGCCGCTCCATACAGGCGGGCGCATTAGGGGGAAGGTTCCACTCGCGGGCCGCCGAGGGCACCAAGGGGGGCGGGGTTTCCTTCCGCATCTCCACGATTCCAACTTCAAGCTAGACCCAAACTAGACGCCTGCCGGAGATTCTGCACCGCTGCAATCCCACGTGGTGCACCTGCGGGCCTCCGCCCCTCTCGCGAGGCTACAGCAACTCTACTTCTCGCAATTATCCGCGATAATTGCTTTCACTCTCAGGCCGCCGCCCTCCGACAACAGGTTCTCGCGAGATGAAAGAACCTCCGGACGAAAGGGGAGGGAAAAGAGGGGGCAATGTTCTCTTATCGCGATACTTGTGAGCGGCCATCTTGCTACTGTCAGTGACAGATTCTCCCGTTGGGGTCAGAGGGACGCTAAGACCACCGCCGGGATCCTTCCTGATCATGTTGTCCCGGGTGGTGCTTTCTGCTGCTGCCACAGCGGGTGAGGGTTGTAAACCCTGGTCTGGGCCACCAGGGTGATTAGAAAGAGGCGGGTGTAGGGGTCACGGGTAGTGGGGTGGAGAAAAAGAGGGGTGAAGAAAGATTCAGCGAGACTTGGGTCTAAGTTAAGAGTGGTCAGGGCTGCTCTGGAGAGAGCTCGGGATTTGAGGGGACGGGAGAGAGGGTGCGAGGCCGTAATGATCGGGTCTCGCGGGGACCGAGGAAGGGGAAGCCTGATTCCACCTTAACTTTGCTGACCTGCGCCTTGTGTATCTGCAGCCGCCTCTCTGAAGAACGCAGCCGTCCTAGGTCCAGGGTAAGAATGAGGAGTGTAAAACTCCCCTTCGTCCTTGTTTTATCACCTAGTTTCACTTTTCCATTTCCTCTCTTGGCCTTAGACCAGAGGTTACCCTTCAGGTAACTCTTGGGACGCTTAAAGGCTCATTCAGACATTTTTGTTCCTGTAACTACCAGAAACGTCTTATCACCTAATGGCAAACATTTTAAAAAGGTTAAGTGAGGTGTTCTAACTAAACTAGAAACCTTGATTTTGGTGTGTTTTAAGCTCCGCCCCTCTCTCTTGTGACCTTCAGGTTGCTGCCCGAATCAGGGTTACCAGATTACATACCCAAGAACAAGTTTTATTAAATAAATAGACCAGTGAAACACGTAGCTTTCAGTCTGTCTCCCACGTTCTATCTTTTTACTGCCAGATCTTAAGATTGAGAAAAATCGTTAATTGATTAAGTAAATATTTAACTCGCCACCCACATACAAAAGATACAAAAATAAGGCTAAGTACCTCACACATTCTAGGACGGGAGGCAGCTATAAAGTAGTGGTTTAGAGTGAGGGCTCAAGGATGGAAGAGCAGGGTACACCTAGCTCCACCACTTACTAGCTGTGGAGCAGCAAGTTTCCTATCTGCAAAATGGAGATAGTAGTACCTTATGGGCTTGTGAGAATTAAGACACTTAAGACCTGTGAAACTCTTAAGAACAGTGCCTGGTACATAATACGTTCGTAGTAAATCTAGCTGTTACTATTAATATTATTTCTTAAAACATGTCAGTTTTCTTTTAGATTTCTTTTTTGACTTCAAAACTTAGTCCTAGAACAACTCTCCTGTAGCTTGAAAAAGTGGCTTTAATCTGTCTGCAATTAATTTTGTGTATGGAATAAAATGAGGCTTTAATTTACTGCTTCCAGTTTCACAATTTACCAGAGAAAAAAGACTCCAGACATGTAAACAAATAATTGTGATAACTCTGTAATATATTCACTATATATACGAAACATAAGGAAGCATCCTTGATTTCTCTTTCACGCTCCATATCTAATCCATTATCAAAGCTTTTCCTCCAGATTATATGTTGACTCTAACCACTTCCAAACACCATTTCTGCTGTAGTAAAAACCACTATCATCTTTCACCTAGGCTATTTCAGTAGTCTCTTAACTAGGCTCCTTTTGACTCTATTCTTACCCCCATTATAGCCAGTTCTCACAATTAAAAAAATAAAAAAGTTGCCATCAAGTCAATTCTGACTCATGGCAACCCCATGTGTGCAGAGTATAACGGCATTCCATAAGGTTTTCAAGACTTTGACCTTTCAGAAGCAGCTCTTCCGTCCTGTCTTTGAGGTGCTTCTGGGTGGGTCCAAACCACTAACCTTTCAGTTAGTAGCTGAGCACTTAACCATGTGAGCCACCCAGGGAATAGCCAGAGGGGTTATGTCACTCCCCCACCTAAAACCATCCAACGCTCCCCATCCCACTAGAAATAAAATCTAAACTATTTAGCATAACCCAGAAGGCCCAACATGAATTGACCTCCATCCTCCCTCTTTGATGTTGTCTCCTTCCATTCTCTTTTGCTGTTCCTCTGAAAACTGCCAAGGAGACTAAGCTTGATAGCAAATACGAAAAAGACTAGGGGATTTTATTTGATCAGAAGCTTAATATGAGACACCAGTATGCTATAACTGCTAAAAATTCAAGCTTAGGCTTTAATACAAGAATAGTTTGCAAATCACTGTTGGTAATAGTACAGTAGCTCAAACTCAGTACTGGCAATGTCAAGTTCTCAAAAATTTTTGTAGGATGAATGAACTGGTCAAGCTACTTTTAAAGTATTATGTTCAGTACTGTATACCCATTTTGTAAACAAAACCAGAGAGCTCCTTATGGAGGACAGTCAGTATTGTCAGGGAACTGAGATATTTAACACGATACCCTGAGCATTATCTTCCATGGAAAAGCAAAATTAGAACCAGTGGGTAGAAGTTCCTAGGGTGTGCATAGCAGCTTGATTTAAAGATGACCATAATTAGAACTATCCAGCACTGGAAAGGCCTATTTCGCATAGTGGTTAGTACCCTAATATAGGAAATATTCAAAAAGGTCAAAGTTCTTGCTATCTAGGAGCTTATATCACAGAGGACATGTAATAGGTAACCAGTTACATAGGAGTTTACCATATGCCAAGCAGTATCCTAATAACAACCCTGTAAGGTAATAACCTTTATTCCCATTTTATTTTCTCTAGAGTTATGAAAGCTTAAGTTACTTGCTCAAAGTCAAGTGCAGAGTCTATGTTCTTGTATATTTCATTGTTAATAATAGACATACAGAGTGCTAGACAGATGACCTCTCAGGCTTATAGAAGGAATTCCAGTATTGGCTGGAAGATTACATAAGGCTTTAAGTGTCTGTAATTAAGTCATTTGGCCTTATCACACATCTAATTATCAGACCCTAATGTTCCCTTTTCTAGTCCCTTTCTTTCCATTATAACAATTACTGAGAAACTCCCTCAGTCTTCATCCCCATTTAGTGTTTCTGCTAATTGTTCAAACATTGCATAGTGGCTGGCTAAACCTTTAGAAACCTTTTAGAAAACATTAAGTTTTCTTCAAAGAATAGGCTTTTAACTTGTATAATTGCTACCTATAGGGTATTGCAGGCAACAAGGATCTTTCACACAGGGCAGCCGAGTCTTGCACCTGTACCACCTCTTCCTGAATATGGAGGAAAAGTTCGCTTTGGGCTGATCCCTGAGGAATTCTTCCAGTTCCTTTATCCTAAAACCGGTGTCACAGGTGAGCATTTGTCCAGTCTGATAGCATGTTTGGTTGGTATGGTTTGTATTAACCTAGGTTTTTAGTAGCCTCTTAACTCTTCCACAGATACCACAAAAAATCAAGTCCGTGGTTTTTAAAAGGAAATTGTAGAGGTGATTCAACATAACCCTTGATTTGATTGCTTTAACTTGTTTTTGGAGTAAATTTGGTTGGGATTTTAACTTAGTTTTATGACATTGTCTCCATTTGTTTATGAATGAATTGGTTAGATTTATTGAATGTCTACTATATTTTGATCAGTTTTTCCCTCTTAATAGACATAAACTCTTCTGATAACTTGCAGTTTTATAATGCTATATATTTTCACTTATGTTATTTAATCATATCAATAGCCCTGTGAAGACATTTTTATTACCCAAAAGAACTGGAGAATAATTTACTGAGATCATATTATCTCTTTAGTGGTTGGGCTGAACTTAAACCCAGGCCCTCTGACTAAGTTTAGGGTTCTTTCTGCTATACGTGTTGCCTTATTATAGCCAAATATTGATATGACCATGGACCATTGGAAACCAATGATTTTTTTTAACTCTGGTATGCCCTAAAGTAGCATTTCCCTAACTGAAATTGCAAGGAACATTAGTGTTCCCAGATCTCCATAGGTGGTTAAAAAAATGTTGCATATAACAGGCCCTTCTTGCAAATTCACGTTTAAAACTTATTTATGGGAATTCTGTACTTACTGCACAATTTTTTCTGTAAACCTAAAACTGTTCTAAAAAATAAAATCTATTAATTTTATACATGAAAGGTAATTTAAAAAAGAGAAGAACTGTTGAAACTTAATATGGGAAGCTCTGGGTAAAATATATTTGAGACACTTTTATTTTCTTGATATATACTAACATCTTTGGTACTAGTATTGTCCAGAAACACTGTAAAATGCTGCCCTAAAGGCCAGTTCTGTCCCTGTGTAACATCTTGTGAGGCACAGAGGAAAATCCTAAAGAAATGTAAATCATGGTTTGTGTCCTTTCAGAACTCATGGCATGGTTAAAGGAAAAGACAGCCATATTTGAAGCATTTCTATTTAAGTGTTAGAAGTTGAGAATCCTGACACTTTAATTCTTATTTTTATAGATATACTACATCATGGTGGTTTTTTCACTTATTTCCAGCGCTGGGTTGCTATTAAATAAAAATAGACTATGATGGATAGATTTTATCCTGTACAATGTTCCCATTCAATAAATAGTATATTTTGTTGGGCATATTACTTCAGAAAGTAACCTGACATCTTTGTAGAGTAGTTCCTGTTTGTTGGACTACTGTACCAGGTACTCTACTTACATTAATTCTCAATTTCATCAGCCCCTAAAGAAGCTACTATTCCCATTTTACAGATGAGAAACTGAGCTCAGAGATTATTTAAATTGCTGTATTCCTAATAAGTTGCAGAGTCACAACTGTGATTTTTCCTGAGTCCAGACCCTTGTTCTTTCAATTCTGTGATACTGTTTAATTTAATGTTTTGTCTTTGAATCTGATTATTTTAAATTGTTGCTTAACTTTGCCTTTAACTAACCAAATGCAGCAGTATCTATTTTCTCCTTTTAGGCATAGTATATTCATTCATAAAATAAGTTTTTTTTTTCTTTTTTAGGACCCTACATGCTTGGAACTGGGCTTATCTTGTATTTTCTGTCCAAAGAAATATATGTGATCACCGCAGAAACCATCACTACCATATCAACAATAGGGTTGCTCATCTATGGAATTAAAAAATATGGTGCCTCTGTTGGAAAATTTGCTGATAAACTCAATGAGGTAAGAACCATAAAGTCTCCCCCTCCCCCCCATTTTAGATTGTAGCAAAAACATCAAGTCCATCAGTGATATTTATGATATGAGTGTTAGGGAAAGAGTATTTAACTATTAAAATAATAAGTGTCAATGTTAGCTACTAATTGAGATAATTTTTTTTTTTTTAATGCGCCAAACTTTCTTCAGCCTTTCCATAGTTTTGTCCATTCAACAAGATATATAGCTAATATGGGCCAGACACTAGGCTGAAAGCCCATTAGGGACCTGGGAGACAGTTCCTAAGGGTCATAATTTCTATTTTTTTTTACCCAAATCCTTAATTCCTTATAGGCCTGGCTTATTTGGTTTTAAATCTTGGGTTTTTTTGGGGTTTTTTTTGTTTTTTTTGGCCTCTCTGGGAGACCTTTTCAGGATTTGTGAGTTTCTGCTTGGATGTGTTTATGCTTCTTTGTGGGTGTTGTTATAAATGAGGGATAAAATTTTGAGGGAGTAGAAAATGAATATGTCTTTATTACTCTTGATGCTTTTACTCATCCTTGTTATAAATATCATAATTGCAGGAAAAAATTGCCAAACTAGAAGAGGTGAAGCAGGCTTCCATCAAAAACATCCAAGATGCAATTGATTTCGAGAAGGCACAGCAGGCACTGGTTGAGAAACGCCATTACCTTTTTGATGTTCAGAGGGTAGGTTTCAGAAGTTGCTGAAAAGAATGAAGTTACTCATTCATGTACATTTAAAACAGAAATTTAGACTCTCTTATGAGGAATGGTTGAATAGACTGAGCATATCTTATTTAGAAAAGATAAGACTTGGGTGGGGGGCTGGCTATTTAGACATTTAAGAACTGCCAAAGGGAAAATCAATAATTATTAATCTAAAATTAGAAACAGTAGAAGTTACAGGTGAACACCTTTTAGGTCCACACAAAAGGAAAGTAATAAGTCATAACCCATAACCTGTTGCCATCGAGTTGGTTCCAACTCATGGTGACCCTATAGGACAGAGTAGAACTGCCTCATAGGGTTTCCACGGGGGCACCTGGTGTATTTGAACTGCCAACCTTTTGGTTAGCAGCCAAGCTTTTAGCCACTGTGCAACCAGGGTCTTTCTCAATGTGGTCACTGTAACATTTGCATCAGAATCAACTTGGGTACAGTTTTTGGACCCATGCCAAGACTTTTGGACTCAGAGCCTTTGATGGGGAGCTATCCAAGGATCTATTATTTTTTTAACAGGATCCTTAAAGGTTCTTAAATGCATGAGTTTGAAATTCTTCAGACTAATAACCTCTTTCAGTACATATTTAGTCAAGTTATGACTGGAGAACAATACACACACGTTCTGGCCTATCTTTTTTTAACCAAATTAGAAGATGTAGCTTTTTCATAAACATCAAATGATAGTCATTTAAGTTTTTATTTATTTAGGAAATATTTATTTAAGATATTTATTGAGCTTCTTCTTGTGTGTCAGACTCTCATCAACGCAGGGTCCTGGGAATACAGCAGAAACAGTCCCCACCACACTGGGCCTACTTTCTAGATAAAGAGGACAGAAAATAGATAAATGAGCAAATGTATATGTCAGATGGTAATAAATGCTACACAGAACAATAAATTAGTGTTAAAGGAAAAGATTGCTGAAGAAAGGAATTACTGTTTTTGTAGGATAGTTAGGATATTTGTGATATTTGAGCAGAGACTAGAAAGAAGTGATAGAGCAAGCTATGTGGATTTTTGGGGAAATAGTGTTCCAGGCAGAGAGAGGAACAATTGTAAGGGCTGTACACCTGAGAGCTTACTTGGTATATTCAAGGAGAAGTAAGGAGGCCATCGTAGCTGAAGTGGTCTGGGTGAGGGGGAGAATAAAAGGAAGAGGGGGAGAATAAAAGGAAGAGAGGTAGAGGAGTTCCCATGGTGCAGATCATGTAAGGTCTTAATTGGCTTCTGTAAGGACTTTGAATGATACTGAGTGAGGGGGTGTCTTAGTCATCTAGTGCTGCTCTAACAGAAATACCACAAGTGGATGGCTTTAACAAAGAGAAGTTTATTCTCTCACAGTCCAGTAGGCTGCAAGTCCAAATTCGGGCATCAACTCCAGGGGAATGCTTTCTCTGTCAGCTCTGGAGGAAGGTCCATGTCATCCGTCTTCTCTTGATCTGGGAGCTTCTCTGCACAGGAACCCCAGGTCCAAAGGATGCGCTCTGCTCCCGGCACTGCTTTCTTGGTGGTATGAGGTTCCTTGTGTCTTTGCTCACTTCTCTCTTTTATATCTCAGAAGAGATTGGCTTAAGATACTATCCAATCTTGTAGACCTCATCAGTATAACTGCCACTAATCCATCTTATTGCATCATACTGAGTTTATAACACATAAGGAAATCACATCAGATTATAGAATGGTACACAATCATACAATACTGGGAATCATGACCCAGCCAAATTGATACACACATTTTTGGGGGAACATGATTCAATCCATGACAGGGGGATAGTCATTGGAGGCTTTTAAGCAGAGGAGTGAGATGATCTCTTGAAGGATCGTCTTGTTGAGATTAGCTTTCAGTTTTGTAGGCGTCAGTTTGAGGTGGCTATCTGTAGTCCAAGTAGAGGTACTGAATAGGCCATTGGATAATAACTCTGGAGTTGATGGGGGGAATTCCAAGTTGGAGGTAGTAATTTTGGAATCATGAGCTTACAGTTTGCACATAAAAGCCATGAGACTGGAATGCCAGGAAAACAGGCAAAAGCCAGGACTATTTCCATTTATGATTGCCCTACTAATGGTTGAGTAATAAAGGGCCTAAGAGTTTCCTGTAGGATTTAGTAACATGGAGGTTCTTCATGACCTTGGTAAGGGCCATTTTAGTGACGTGATCAGAGTACGTTGAAAACAGAATAAGAGGGAAGATATTGGAGTCAGTATAGCCCCAGTGGCACAGTCGTTAAGAGCTACGGCTGCTGACCAAAAGGATGGCAATTTGAATCTGCCTGCCGCTCCTTGGAAACCCTATGGGGCAGTTCTCCTCTGTCCTATAGGATCGCTATGAGTCTGAATCAACTCAACAGCAGTGGGTTTTTTTTTGGTTTTTTTTTTTAATAGACAACACTATCAAGGAGTTTTACTGTAATGGTGAGCAGAGAAATTAGCCAGTAGCTAAGAAGGGGAGAATATAGGAATTGAGATTTTTTTAAAGATGAAAAATACAACGACATATTAACATCTGATAGACGGTAGTAGAAAAAAGAAAAAATTATGTAGCAAAGAAGGGAAAAAAATGCTGGAGTGATGTCCTTGAATAGACCATAGGGCCTGGAATCTAATGCACAGGTGGAAAGGTTGGCTTCAGAAGCATAGATGGTTCAGCTATGGTTGCAGAAAGGCAAAGTATACGGGTACGAATTCAGGTAGATTGGTTCATGTGGTGGTTCTTATTGCTTACTTTTTCTCAGTGAAATAGGAAGCAAGGTCATTGACTGAGAGTGAAAGTAGTCAAGATCTTAGAGGTTTGAGGAGAAAGTGAAGTAATCATCTGGAAGAGTGAAAGAATGAGTGGACTAAAATGTACTGAGCAGCACTAAGGGCCTGCTTGAGATTAATATCTCAAGCCATCATATTTAATGGGCAGACTCATAAGCATTCTCATTACAGACAAGAACATAACAATAGCCCTGTCACCATCATTAATTTAATATCATTCTGAAGGTAATAGCTAATGTAGTTAGAGAAGAGAAAGAAAAAGGTATAAAAACTAGAAAAGAAAAGGTGAAGTTATCCTTATTTACAGATTACCTGATTGTATACCTGGAAAACCTAAAGGAATCAATATAACTCTTAACACAAGAAGCGAATTCAGTAGGGTCTATGTACAAAATTAATATGTAATGAACAAAATCAGTAGATTTTTATATACAAATAGTAGTATGCAAACAGTTTACTGTATAAGTAGTATACAAATAGTATACTGTATTACTAGAATACAAACAGCAGTCAGTTAGAAGATGTACTGGAAGAAGACATACATTTAAGAAACGATGCTGAGGTATAAACCTAACTGAAGATACACAGTCTCTGTATTTTGAAAAATGTAAAATGCTTATGAGGTGCAAAGTTCTAAGACCCTTGTTCTTAATTGGAAGACTTAATATTGTGAAGATGTCACTTCTCTCTACTTTCATTTCTAAATTTAACATGTTCATCGAAAAAGATACTAATAGGAATGGGGAGGGGGTCTAGCAGATCTTGGACAAATTAAACACAAAACCTATTGCCATTGAGTCGATTCTGACTCATAATGACCCAATAGGACAGAGTAGAACTGCCCCATAGGGTTTCCAAGGAGCAGCTGGTAGATTCAAACTGCCGACTTCTTGATTAGCAGCCAGTCTCTTGACCACTGTGCCACCAGGGCTCTGGACAAATTAAAAGGAACTTAAAATAGCATGATACAGCATATAAGTCAGGTTGGCAGAACAAATGAAAGGGTCTGGAGATAGACCTAAATCATTTAAAAACAAACAAGAAACAGTTGCTGTCAAGTCCATTATGACACATGGTGACCCCATGTGTGTCAGAGTAGAACTATGCCCCATAGGATTTCCAATGGCTGATTTTTCAGAAGTAGATCTCCAGGTGCCTCTGGCTAGACTTGAACCGCCAACCTTTCTGTTAGTAACCAAGTGTATTAACCGTCTGTACCACAAGAGAATTTTTTTAGATAGATGGAATTTTCATCTTAAATGGGGAAAGATGGACTATTTAATAATAGTATAGATAAATGGAGCCCTGGGGGTGCAGTGATTAAGAGCTCAGCTGCTAACCAAAAGGTTGGTAGTTTGTATCCACCAGCCGCTCCTTGGAAACCCTAGGGGGCAGTTTTACCCTGTTCTATAGGGTTGCTATGAGTCAGAATCGACTAGATAGCAATGGGGGTTTTATAGAGACAAATGGGTAGATCTGTGGATATAAAATTGATTTCCTAGCTTTCACTTCATCTCAAAGTAAGTTTTAGCTGAATTAAAGAGCTTTACATAAAAAGATGAAACCATAAAAGAAAAAGAGAACAATTAAAATTTTTTTAATATTCTTGGGAGTTGGGAAAGCCTTTCGGATAAAAACAACAAAGTCCAGAATCTTTAAGAGGAAAAATTGTTAAATTGATCTCATATAAATTTAAAATTTCTACATGTAAAAAATACCATAAACAGAGTTAAAAGACAAATGACATACTGGGAAGAATTCATGCATTCCATGTGACACAAAGGGGTAGTTAACTTAATGTAAAAAGAGATTTTACAAATCAGTAGGAGCAACCAGCATCCCAGTAGAAAAATAGGCAAAAGAAATGGGCAGTTCATAGAGAAAAAAGTAACTACAACTTTCTTTTAAATATGTAAATTTTCTCCTTAGATTATCATGACAAAATTGATGAGATTGTTTTTTTCACTTATCTGATTAGCAAGGGTTTGGAGTAACAGGTATTCATGTTACTATCATGTTAAGTTGTGTTACTTCTCTGGAACTTGGCAATGTTTATCACAATTTAAAATGTATATGTCCTTTTGATCTTTAAGAGCGTGGACTGTAGCCTGAGTGCCTGCATTGAGATCTGGCTTCACAATTTATTAGCTCGGAACCTTGGTCAAGTTCCTTAACTTCTCTGCTTTAGTTCCCTTACTGTAAAATAGGTATAATAATAGTAATTATCCTATGGTGGTGGTGTAAAATTTAATTAAATTGACATAATCACAGAGTTTAGAAATAATAGGTACTCGACAGATGTTATTATTTCACTCAGCAAGTATTCATGCATGAGTGCAAAGATATCTACAGTGATGCGTTGCAGCATTACTTGTAGTTAAAATAAATGAGAGGCAAGCTAATCTAGAGCTTGGTTAAATTTTGGAATATTAATGTAGTGGAATCGAGTGTAACTTTAAAAGTACAGGTGGATCTATTTGTAATAATCAAAAATAAAATAAGAGTGATGGATGTGTGTACATATGCCTATATCTTGTTCATTAAATATTTCTGGAGGAAAGACAAGAAATACAGAAAGATAGTAATAATGTAGCCTCTAAGGGCCTAGGGGAAACTTACCGTTCACTGCATAGACTTTTACATATAGTTTTTATCACATGCTGTTATAATTCTTTTTACCCATATATGTATTACGTATTCCTAGTAAATAAAATAATTTTGCGTAAAATACAAGAGAGTGGTGGGACATTCTAACTGGCAAAAGTGATCCTTCAAATATGCAAACAATATCCATGATCCTTCCTTAATTTTGCCCCAGAATAATATCGCAATGGCCTTGGAGGTTACTTACCGGGAACGGCTGCACAGAGTATACAAGGAGGTAAAGAATCGCCTGGATTATCATATCTCTGTGCAGAATATGATGCGTCGAAAGGAACAAGAGCACATGATAAACTGGGTGGAGAAGAACGTGATGAAGAGTATCTCTACACAGCAGGTACATGAAGTGTATAAGTTCTGGGGTTGTACTGATACTTCTCTAAGAAGCCTCTGGCAAGGAGGCTTTAGCCTAGAAACGGTGGGTGACCCTGTTGTTCATTTTTTCTGGAACATGGTAACCTAGCAGATGCTGCAGAACTACCATGGTGGCTTTTCTCCTTCCTCCAAGTTTGGTTACAAAGGTACTCTCACCTCACAGGTCAAAAACAGTGGAAAGATCATTGAGAACATTGGTTGTGGAAGACTTGTGTTCAGGTTCCAGTATGTGGGTGACATTAGCCAACATATTTAATTTCTCTGTAAAACATACAGACTGGACAGAGCTATTTCTAAGCTCTTTCTGTTTCCTAATTCCATGATTTCCATCCCATTTCCCCTTCCCAGCCACTTAATTCATCTGTCTTGAACAAAAAAGAAATATTTTCTGTTATTGTACTTACTTGTATGGCCCGATTTCTTCCCTCCCACATACATAGAATACTTCAGCATTTCTGATCATTTTCCGCATAATCATACCAAAAACCAAACCCATTGCCTTGTTGGTTATGACTCATAGCAACCCTACAGGATAGAATAGAACTGCCCCATAGGGTTTCCAAGGAGCTGCTGGTGAATTCAAACTGCCGACCTTTTGGTTAGCAGCTGAGCTTTTAACCACTACGCCACCAGGGCTCCCATAATCATGCAGGACTGGAAACACTGGGTCTGCCAAAGTTTGATGGATTGTTTTTATTTACTTTTTAAAAATAAACTGTCTTTTACATTAAAAATATGTATGTGCTTATTTAAGAAAGTTGGAAAATATAAAAAGTATAGAGAAAACACTAAAACTTCATTCTTTCTAACATTTCTATTTTGCTGGTGTTGGTTTCGTCTTTTTCAAGTAGATGTTAGCTGTGCAAGCCAGCATCAGTGGCAAATGGTGCCAGAAATATCTGCTCTCAAACTATACAGATTTCACTTTTAAAAGCTATCAGCCAGAGCATTTTAACTAATCCCCTGAATTGTTTAAAATAGATTGTCTCTCTCCTGTATTAAATTATTAATTTTGCTTCTAAACCTTCTAGTAGTTTATCATATTAAATCAGGAATTTATCCTGAGATTCTGATCTTATAGGACATGTCCATTAGAAGTGCTGTGTCTGTCTATACCCTTTCATACTTTGGTGAGGTCTAACCAGGTTTCTCTTTCCTTGGCCATAGGAAAAGGAGACAATTGCCAAGTGCATTGAAGAGCTAAAGCTGCTGGCAAAGAAGGCTCAGGCACAGCCAGTTATGTAAATGTATCTGTCCCAATTGAGACAGCTAGAAATAGTTGACTAAATGGAAAACAGTCTATGTGACAAAATCATTCTTTGTATGTTGCTGTCTACTGAAGTTAAACAGTTTTCTTTAACTAAAAATGAAGTTTGAGTTTGATATATTGAGAGAATAAAATACGATCATTGGCCAGTAAGGTGTTTCTCATTATTCTTGTTCCGCATTTTGAGTTACTCCATGATCGCTTTGAATAGGCAGTTTGTTTTTAGTGAAGTTTGGTGCCTGACTAAAGATTATCAAGTTGTAGTTTAAATTTGTAAATAACTCTACCATCTTGCAATAAAGTGACAACTGAAACAAGGTTTTTCAAATTGCATAATTTTCTGAAATATTACTTCAATTATATTTGTTACATGGGTACAAAAGTATCATTGAATGAATGTCTGGTTTAAGTGACCAGTGGTGAGCTGTCTGTGGCCAACTGATGGGTTACGAGAAATTTAAAGTTTTTTAGTACTCCTAATTAAAATATGTATCATATCATATCATTGGCTTTATTTTTAGTAGTATGTCTATAGAAAATATGGACCCAATGTATCATAAAATCATTCTTAAATATCCAGCAGATAAATCAGAAAATTCTGCCCTTCTGTGGTTTGTCTGCATTTAATTTGCCATATTTATATAAGGATTTACTTGTCCACAAATGAACAACTTTTCACAAATGAAATATTTGAAAATATGTACCATATGGGTTTACTATTTTCATTGTATCAGTCAGGGCTTAATCAGAGAAGCAGAACCACTAAGATACATGTTTGTATATGAAAGCGTTTCTAAAGGCTTTTTATGGAAACTGGTTAAGCAGTCTCAGAGGATGTTGTCTCTGTTTTGATGCTAGGAGCTTGAAGTCCACAGGGCAGACAGTTGAGAAGGGAAGGCAAATGTTAAGTGGGAGAAAGCAGGAATGAGCTGGAAGCCACAAGCACAGACTAAAACCTGTGCCATTTTTATTATGTCTGATTTTGATGATGTGGTAGTCCTGCATAAACTGGGCCAATCATCACATATACCTGGTCCAGAAGTTAGAGAAGCTGAAAAAACATCCAGGGAAAGACTGAGAAGTGGCAGGCTCTGCTGCTGCGTCACATCAACAAGTTGAGCCAACAGATCATCAACAACAGGTTTGAACTACAAAAGCTGCTGCTTCTCATCCACCCTTCAAATCTTACATAAGAATCTCTTGTGGCTCACCCTAACCAAAAGCATTCAGGGAAGAGAATTCTGGAAAATGTAGTTTAGCCTAGCCAATTTGACACATTATAAACCAGCACAGTATGGTTTCCAATGTTTCCAATCCCAGGAAATTAATGAAAACACCCAAAGAAACTGAGTGAGTAGAAAGGTGACAGATCAGAAGAGAAATGATATCTGAGCTGGAAGTTAGCCAAGAGTGTGGGATCAGAATCCAGGGAGATGGAGCAGCGTTTGTGATTGTAGAGAGGTTTCTGTAGGAGATTGTGACTCACTAAAGTCTTCTCAAGAAGTTAAGAGTAAATGCCATGCTTATAAACTGGATTTTGTTCTGAGGACAGGGCAGCCACTTAAAGGTTTTTAAAGGAGAGAAATGATGATTAGATTATTGTTTTAGAAAAATCACTGCAACAATACAGAGGATGGTTTGCAGAGAGGCAAGGCCAGTTAGGCTGTGTGATCATTCTAGCAAAGAGGCATAACAAAACCCATTGCCATCAAGTTGATTCCAACTCATAGCGACCCTATAGGAGGCATTAAAGGCCTCAAAGACATTGGCAGCATAGATGGAAAGGAAGAAGTTGAGAAATACAATGGGCTACATTAGTAGGACTTCAGTGGGGAGAATGTGGAAGAAGTGAAGAATCAAGTTGAGTCACAGCTGTCCTGTTTGCAAGAGTATGGAGGGGAAGATACTATCCACTATGATTTGAAATGCAGAAGGAAGTATATATTTCAGGATAAAGGGAATTTAATTGGGGTATATTGAATTGAAAGTACTTGACTGACATGCCGCTGGAGATGCACAATTAGGTGCATTGGGTCTGGAGCTTAGAAGAGGCTTAAACTTAGGAGACACTAGTGTTGAGGTGGTAACTAAAGCTGTTGAAGTAGATGTGACAATCCTGCAGAGTGTACAGAAAGAGAATAGGGCTAAGTGTAGAGCCATGAAAAGAGCATCGATGTCTGAGGAACAGCAGAGAGAGAAAGGATTCTGCAAAAGAGGGACTGGCGAATCATTGGAAGAAAACGAGGAGAGAATAGTGTCATAGAAATCAAGAGTGGCAGGTTTTATGTAGGAAGAGTCAAAAGTAACAAATTTTTCAGGAAGATTAAGAGAAGGAGTGAAAGTGTCCGTTAGAGGTAGTAGTCTGAAGGTCTCTGGTGGCCTTTGTTAGAGTAGTTTGGGTTGAATGGCAGGGACAGAAGACAGATTGCTATAGGGTAAAGGATTGAAAGGTAAGTGAGGAAATAGACCTTAAATAGAATACTTTGCAGACTATTCATCCCAGTAAATGTGGGATGGTAACTAAAGGGAGGCAAAAGTTGGCACAGGTGAGTATTGTTTTAAAATGAGAGAGACTTGGACAAATAACAGCTGTGAAGAAAAAGCCACTAGAAGGAAGAAGAGGATGAAAAGATAACAGGAATAATGTAGCAAAATCCTTACGTGGGAGAATGCTATTCAGATAACAGGTGGAGGAATTAGCCTTCAGCAGAGGAAAACTCCCACTGAAACTGGAAAGGTAAGGATGGACCTTGAAATAAAATGAAGATTTTCAACAGGGGTACAGGAAGTTCACTTAACAATTATTTATACAAATCATACCACCTGTTAGACACTGCTAGGCACTCGGGCGAGAAAGACAAAATGGTATCTGTCCACAGAGTTTACAGTCTTACAATCTAAACATTGAACAATATGTGATCCTAATGTTAAAACAGTATGGGGTGCTGTTGTGTGCCACTGAGTCGATTCTGACTTACAGGGACTCTATAGGACAGTAGAACTGCCTCATAGACTTTCCTAGGCTGAAATCTTTATGGTAGCAGATCGCAAGATCTTTTCCTCCACAGAGTGGCTGGTAGGTTGAACCCTCTGACCTTTCAGTTAGGAGCTGAGTGCTTCACCACTGCACCACCAGGGCTCCATTAGGGTTCTAGGAGTGAACTTACTCTGATATTGGGGATCATGAAAAGCCTTCTGGAACAAATTACATTTAAACCGATACCCGAAGGATAGGGAGACCAGCAGACAGAGGAAACAGCTTGTGTTCAGACCCTGAGGAGGAAAGAGCCTGACATCTTGAAAAATAGAACTCCAGTATGACTGGAAGGAGCCCTGGTGGTGCAATGGTTAAGCGTTCAGCTACTAACCAAAAGGTTCGCAGTTCACACCCACCCAGTGGCTCTGCGGGAGAAAGACCTGGCAATCTGCTTCCATAAAGATTACAGCCAAAAAACCCAATGAAGGGGCAGTTCTATTCTGTCACATGGGGTCACTCTGAGTCGAAAAATTGACTCAATGGCATCTAACAACAACAGTATGACTGGAGCATAGAAAGAGAAGGGGAGAGTGGCAGGAGATAACACTGGAGAAGTAGATGGTCCATATTATGCAGGTTTATTCTCTTTAGCTATATTAAAGAATTTCATATTCTTTTAAAAAATGGGAAGCCAATAAAAAAGGTTTTAAGCAGAGGAAAGTTTGGATAATGGGTTAGAACAGGGGTTGGCAAACTTTTTCTCTAATGAGGTAGGTAGTAATAATTTAGATTCTGTAGGCCACATGTAGTCTCCATCCCATAAATTCATCTGTGTTTATTTTTACAACACTTTGGCCCCCAGAAGACAGGAAGAGTGGGTGGAGAGACCAGTCAGGAAGTTATTGATGCAGTGGTTAAGAGCTACAGCTGCTAACCAAAAAGGTCGGCAGTTTGAATCCACCAGCCACTCCCTGGAAACCCCATGGGGCAGTTCTACTCTGTCCTACAGGGTCACTATGACTCATAACCGACTTGGCAGCACCTAACAACACCAACAACAGGTGGAAGCTGATGGTGGCTTGGGCAAGGATGGTGATAATAAGAAAAAGAAGTAGATTTGACATACGTTTTAGAGTTTGAATTGACAAATTTGCTTTTTAGCTAGGTGTGGAGGGGGGTATTCTGTTGAGGGAAGTATGTAAGTTGCCTCCCAGGTATCTGGCTTTGTGGTGATGCTGTTAATTGAGGTAGACAATAGATGAGAAGCAGGTTTCAAGGAAGAAGGTACTGAGTTCAGTTTTATTATTGACTAGAATTTACAGATGTTCATGTGAAGACATGTAGGAAATTAGCTTAAATTCTGATAAAAGATAGGTCTAGAAATACAAATTAAGGCATCAGTAGCATATAGATAGTAAGTTAGGGCCTGGCAGTGGAAGAAATAACCTAGGAAAATAGCATGACGTGAGAAGAGAAGGATGTCTCAGACTGAGTAGATGAAGGAGATCAAGCAGGCAAGGGACACTGATGAGGAAGGGCCAGACCATGCAAAACAGAGATGGATTGTGGAGGTTGACGATTAATCATTACGAATCAGGTGGTAACTCCAATTACAGCTGTTGTTCTACATGTGGATTCTACAAGTCAAAATATTTGTCTTGTATGCAGCTATTTTAGCAAATGCTTTTGCTATACCCAAATAAGCAAAGACCATGCTTTCACCTATCAAGTGCAGCACATCGCCTTCATTCCCTCATTTCAGATCTGTATCATCTCTCTGATTCTCTGTTATAATCCAGTTTCTGGAAACTTTGATCATCTTGCTATCACCCAGGACATCATGCTGGTCCACTACACTGAAGATATCGTAATGACTGGACCTGATAAGAAGAAAGTAGCAGATACTATCCAGATGCCTTATTAAGATCTAGGCATCACTGGTTGGAAGAGAACCTCTGAAATTTCAGAGGGCTGGCACTTCAGAGATGTTTCGGGTAATCTGGAGCATGTGAAAGACAAGTTGCTTCACTTTGCACCACCTACCTTAAGAAAGCAGCCTGGTATTTAGTGGGCCTCTTTATATTTTGGAGGCAACATATATACTACATCTAAATACGCTGATCTGACCCATTTACTGAATAACCAGCCTGCAAGGCTACCAGTTTTG